CCACGTGCTGTAAAATTCAGTTTACAGTAAAGAGTTACTGAAGTAACGTCTTACTCGCAGGTGCAGTACTGTGTACTGGTCTAAAGGCTGCAGGAGGTTAGACAACACAGTCATGTCGGGGCATCTGTATAGGAATAACATACCAGCTGTTAGCAATGTAGTTCTTTCCATTGAATGTTTTGTATTTAGGACACAGTTAGGCAACTGCAGCCACGAAAGAGTCAGACTGTGCTCACCTCGGTCCCCTGCAAATCTAACGATGCAGCTCTGTTTACATTTCTGAGCGAGTCAGGGCCTCTCTGCGCGTTGGTCAGATCTGACTGCAGAAGCTCTGGCCAAACTAGACACAGCAGCGCAAGGATTTTCCAATATCATGTTAAACCTGCTCGCCCGCCTGCCACAAGACTCGCAAAACACGGATTGAAAACAGATTTTTATATTGCGCCCAGGCTGGGTCTCGGCGGTGTTGCCGAACCCCTTGCGGTTAGCTTTTATGGATCGGCCAGCCTTTAAAAAGTGGTATTTAACCAATGAGGAAGAAAGAGGAGACAGCTATCGATTCCTGGCGAGCTCGTTTTCCGCTGCATGGAGGCACAGCTGTCTGGACTGGGTGTGAGCGAGGAAACTGTGTCTGAGAAGAAGTCGTTAGTGGGACTGCCTGTATTAAATAGGGTACTGCTACATTACTCAGCTGAAGCATTCATTGAACTTTGGAAGTACAAAAATGTGGTTTAAATCCCCAGTGAGACACAGCCTATAGAGCTTGAGCGCGATCCCCAACAGCGAAATAAGATAATAAGTTTCTTCGGATGACAGTCAGTTTAGTAATTAACTTACTTTTAAGCAACTTTTACATTGTATTCAACTGGCGTTAGATATTGAGTTGAACAATCCTTGAAGCAGTAGCACATAACTAAGAGAGGAGTTCGCCAGAATCCTACAATAATAAACAGTGAAACTGTCTGAAATAAATCTCCCCTTTATCACTGTTTTTTTTTTAAACAAAAGAAAGGATAGAAACGATAACCCCACCTTGCTTGTCAGGTTTGTAGTGGCTAAATCAGATAAAAAGGACCTGAAACAAGCTTTTGCGTGACTAGATTAGCGTGGAGCACTGGGCAAGTCTGGTGCTGGTGCACGGTGCTCTTGCCCCGTGGAGGGAGACAGTCCAGCGTCACGGACTCCTAGCGCCGACACTGTCGCACAACAAGACTTTAGAACCATCAGCTCACGCACAGCTGCCTTCACAAGATCGCAGAATACCGGCTACGTAAAGCGATCACACCGTCATGAAGTCAAAGAAATGTGGCATTTGAAGGGTGGCACGGAAGTGCACTGGTTAGCATTACTGCCTCGCAGCTGGAGCCCTGGATTTGATTCCGGACCTGGGGTGCTGTCTGTGTGGAGTTTGCATGTTCCCCCCAGGTTCATGTGGGTTTCCTCCAGGTGCTCCATTTTCCTCCCCTAGTCCAAAGATATACTGGTAGGTTAATTGGCTTCTGTGAAAACTGGCCCTGGTGTGTGTGTGTGTCCTGTGATGGACTGGTGTCCTGTCCAGGCTGTAGCCTGCCTACGCCTGCTGCTTTCTGGGACAGCTGGGATAGGCTCTGGCTGCCCCCCCAACCCTGAACTGGAAGAAGCGGTGGCAAAATGGATGGCAATTGAATTAATTTTGCTTTTAACATGCATCACCATGAGGAAGGAAAGGGCACTCGATTGCTTAATGATCTCTTAATGATGATCGATTTGAGCTTTAAAGGAAGGTATAGTGCCTATAAATAAACCCAGACAATGAAGATCAGTTTTTCACATTCGCAAGCCCAGGTGCTTCTGGACACAGTGGGACTGCCTGAAATTAATATATACTGTATTTAAATATAAAAGTTTCAGATTTATGTATACAGTGCTCTAAAAAGTATTTCCTTATATTTTGTAATGTAGGTGAACAACTGTTTTCCAGCCAGGTCTCTATACTGCAAAGCTCAGTAACTGTAATCTCTCTCAGGCAATGAGGCTCATCAGTGTCCATCCATCTGTCCCTTTTCTGAACTGCTTCATCCAGTTTAGGGTCACGGGGGAGCTGGAGTCTTTCCCAGCAAGTAACAGGTGCAAGGCAGGGTACACCCTGGACAGGACGCCAGTCCATCACAGGACACACACAGACACACACACTCACACTTTTCCCAGAAGCCCAAAATTGCCCGCCAGCATGTCTTTGGACTGTGGGTGGAAACTAAAGCACCCAGAGGAAACCCATGTGAACACGGGGGAGAACATGCAAACTCCACCCAGACAGCACCCCAGGAATTGAACCCAGGGCCTCACAGAACTGTGAGGCAGCAATGCTCACCACTGCGCCATTGTTTCACCCTCATTGCTTTATCATGAATACAAATGTTGAAATAATGCAATATTATTTATGTTATCTCACTCCATTTCTAAATCAACACTGAATCGTGAAAGACTTTTGCTCAGGCTTTAGACGTGCGATTAGAAATGTAAAGACTTATAAATCTTGAGTAGAACAGGAACCAGGGGACACAAGTGGGAACGACATGGAAGTGCATTCAAAACCCAGACCGGAAGGCATTTCGTTACGCAAAGGGGTTGCGGGGGGCTGGAACAAGCAGCCCTACCTTACTGTCGAAGCCGATGCGCTTCAGGTCTGCTGGCTGCCTCCTATCACAGGGTAGCCAGATGGGCCCCCCTGGTTTGCACTCCGGTAACCAGCAGCCCCCCTCCCCCCCGCAGTGCCCCCACCTCGGGACTCCACCATCGCGGTGATCATCGGCGCCTCAGTGGGGGGGTTCCTGGCCGTGCTGATCCTGTCCATGGTGGTGGTGAAGTGCATCCGCCGGAAGAAGAAGCAGGAGCTGATCTCGGACGAGCAGAAGATCGAGGAGGAGTGCAAGACCGACGGCGAGGGGGGCACGGAGGAGGGACCCAAGTAAGGCGCCGCTCGCTCTTCCGCTCCCTGTTCTGTCTCCCCCCAGCGCTGGTCCACACCGGTGCCGGGACCCCTAACCTTTCACCCAGCTGGCCTGGGTGGACCTCTCCACCGGCTCAGTGGAAACGCCCCGTGTCCGTGGGGGGCGTGCGTGCGCAGAGCTCTGTTCTCTGTACCCCACGACCCCCTCAATAGGCGTACTGCATTTCACAACAGAGCTGTCTGGACCGCCAGATAAATCGCCTTCGCCAGGGCAGCCGACACTGCAAGAGCCCTGTACAGTCGCTCACGCACCAGTGACCAAAGCACTTCCGTCTGCCTGAGCTCTTACGAGCTGCAGGCAGCACCAGAGCTCCCTCTTCTGAACCACTTTATCCAGCACAGGGCCGTGGGGGGAGCCGCAGTCAATCCCGGCAAGAAATGGGCACAAGGCAGGATACACCCTGGATGGGACGCCAGTCCATCACAAGTCACACGCAGACAGAACCACACACACTCACACCAGGGCCAATTTACCCAGAAGCCCATTAACTTCCGAGAATGCCCTTGGACTGTAGAAAGAAACCAAAGTACCTGGACGAAACCCAAGTGAAGTGGGGGGGAGAACATGCAAACTCCACACAGACAGCACCTCAGGAATTGAACCAGGGGCCCCGGCACGGTGAGCAATGCTCACCACTGCCCGCGACACGAGGTGCAACCCCTACGGACATGCTTAAAGACTGGCCAGGCCGAGAACAAAGAGCTCATGACTCCAGCTCGTCTCTTGACTGGTTTCCTTTTGATCTCCTACCAACTCGGTGTCCCAGCATGTAAGCTTACAAAAAATCCGGAAGACCCAACACATGAAAGCCTCTAAAACTAGGTTATGTGATGGAGGTGAGGAGGTATGTGGTAGATATACTGTACTGCGACATACCACACCACTAGCTCCTCAACTGCAGCACAAACCTCACGGCCCAGGTTCCTGGTTTGTTACCCCACATTTCTCATGCACATTTTCTTTACTTGGCAGTCATTCGGACTGAGACAGAAAATACGTCAGTAAGATGTGAGTGAAATATCTCACTGCAGATCCCCAAGTGTGCTCCAGAGAGATCCAGACAGTTCCAAACCAGGGCTGGTCAGCACATTTGCCATCCAGGAAGTCGCCCTTAATTAGCAGTGCATGAAGACCTCATTCAGTTCCAAGTTTTCAGACCAATTTATTGTTCAAAGAAATCGAGAGCAGACAGATCAGGACCTGGATGTTTGCAGGTTGCCACAAATCTTCATTCTAAAATGACCAGCTTATAAGGTGACAATAAATTTGAGAAATTCCATGCTGAAGGGAAATGTCTATGATGTTTCCAGACTAAGGCATTTCCGACTGCCTGGGGCACTCAAAACTGAGCTCTTTCTTTTCCAAACCTGTCTGCCTGGCAGGCCGTATGGCCAGTAGTAATATTCAGAAGTTCCCTTTGCATATCAACATTAGCACACTCTCTGACAATACTGGCCACAGCAGATGTGACAGTACAAGTGCCAGAGACACAATGTGCAGAAATTTACATCTTTATTGATCAATCAAAAGCAGAGCCCAGAACACAATATTGTGCAAAACTGGTTGCTCATCTGCTGCAAACTTAAAAAAAAAAACTCACTCAGCTGTAAACAGTAGCAGTGTGGTCCCACTGTTAATTTTCACACGCTGGACATTGTGAGAATTCCCATTATGACACGTTTCTGAAGCTAAATTAGCAAAGAACAAGGTGCAGGTTTTACAGGTATATACCAGGCTTCCTTTGTAAACTACAGCACAGAAAGAGAGGGCAGTCAAGAAGGCCTTATCCTCTTGGTCTTCTAGTAGCATTTTAAGAAACATTCAGCTTCAATGCAATGCAAGCCAAGGTCACAACACAACACCAGGCATGAAGCAGAGCACACTCCAACCACAACACAGGGCTCTAGTAGCTTGGGTGTATTTGTCACCATTATTCTGGATCTTAATGCTGACACTCGTGTGGTGGCTGGCTGAGTGCTGGAGCAGGACATTCTGGGGGCAAACTGCTCCCCCTTTGCAGTGTTTGGGTTTGCTGTGTGTTCTTACAGCTATGCCAGTAGATTCAACTTTCTTCACTGCTGTCACAATGGCAGGGCTCTTTAATTCATGATGAAAGTGTCCGATTATCTGCTTCCTACCAACTAACTTTCAGGCGCAAAAGCTGTGATTTGCCTCGAGTGTTTTTCCACGAGAAATTATATTTGGGTTCAGTGTCGGTTCAATTTAAATTCCCCCTGTATGTAGCTCATCATCATAAATACAGCGCTTTTAGTATTTCAGTATCTAAAAAACAGAAACTTCTACTGGCACAAAATACTGGTAGAGGGTTTTAACTGTGCTTACTTAAAGCCACAAGTTGAGAAGGGATGCAGGGTATTTGCCCCTCCCCAGTGGTGTGTGTGTGTAGATGGAGGACCTTCGAACACAAAACCCAAATTGGCAGCTCAATTCCCTCTCTGTTGGAAGCCCTCCTCCACGACCAGATAGAACCGAGACCGAGAACAATATTCCTAATGACCTTAAGGGGGCGCTGCTGGGACAACCGGGTGGGCAGCACGCTTGCCTTGACCTGCAGTGCGAGTGTCCCACGGGGGCCTGGCGAGAGCCTGGGATACGTCCCTACAGCTCCAGTCCAGGCAGTGCGCTCCGTGACACGTTTTAACTGCATCCCCTCAGCATCTTCGCATTTGGAGAGGTGGAACTGCACTCCCCCTCTATAGCTCGGATCCGGGAGAGGAGTATTCCACAAGCTCAGGATGTCCCCGTCCCCTGTCCGGACTGGAGGAACTGGACTCCATCTGAGCACTGGGCTGCTTAGACGAATCGTATTCCACTACAGCCCCGTTGCAGGGGCCTCAATCCTGGCACCCATCCCCTAATCTAAGCACTGAACCAATCCTTAATTGGTTAATTAATGCCTGGGGTAGCTCAGGCTTAGCTGGAGTGATGTAGCAGAGAGGAATCTGGGTGCCAGGGTTGGATACCCCCCAGTCTTAGTGTTCTGAGTCTCTCTTAAGACTGTGGGGAAAGAAGGGGTTTGCTTAATAAACTGGCTATCAATTAATTAATTAATCACGCCGACGTTCTACAAAGTGCATCTCAATGACCTCTGCTCTTTTCTTTTTTTTTTGTTTCTTTCTTGTCTGTGCTTTAATTTAACCAGACAACTCTAACCTACCTGCATGGTCCCAGATGATCAAGGCTTGATGGAGCCCCACCCCCTCCCCCTTCTGGTAAAGAGATTCATGCCTGGTGTGTCTCAGTGATCGTGTGACTCCGATTAGCCCACCTGAGGTGCCCCCCAACTCTGGTTTCCCACAGGCTGCGACCGGCCATTGTCCCCCCACTGCGGGGTTGACACTTGGCCATCACCGGCGCCATTAGTTCAGTGAAATCAGAGGAGGCCCTGGTCACCCACTCTGCCCCTGTCCACTGCAGCAGAAAGGACACTAACTGGGAACTGCTGGGGGCAGCGCTGCAGGGATCAGCAACTTCGTGCTGATTCTTTGCCATTCTTGATGACCAGTATTGATGACCGCTATTGGTGACTAGTATTAGTGACCACTACTGGTGACCAGTATTGATCACCACTGCTGGTGACCGGTATTGGTGACAGCTATTGATGTCCATAATTGATGACTGGCCCTTTTTAATGACTGATATTGAGCACCTCTACTGATGACCAGTATTGGTGAAAGGTGTCAATAACCATTATTAATGACGAGTATCGATCACCACTATTGATGACCAGTATTGGTGACAACTATTGATGTCCAGTATTGATGACTGGACCTATCTAATAACTGATATCGATCACCACTACTGATGACCAGTATTGAAAACTGGTATGGATAACCGCTATTATTGACCACTATTGACGACCAGTATTGGTGACAGATATTGATGTCCAGTATTGATGACTGGAACTATTTAATGACGTATTGATCACTGGTGTGGATGACCACTATTAATGACTGCTATCGATGACCACTACTGTTGACAGCTATTGGTGACAGGTATTGATGACCAGTATTTATGACTGCCATTGCCAGTGGTGATTCCCAAGTGTGAACCCCCCACCCCCCAAGGCACAGAGCCTGTTCAGTCCACCCCCGGTGGGTACTGAGGGAATGACGCGCAGCTCAGCGCCACAGTGTTTCGAATGCCCGTGCGTGAAGCTCAAATTGGAAATGGTTTGTCTTCTCCCGTGACCCAATTTGACATCACCAGCTTCACACCCGCTGCCCGAGCCAGGTGGGAGCACGGAGCCCAGCCCCAGCCTCATTCCCAAAGGCCTCTCCCTGAAGGCCACTGGGGGGCCCCGTGACCAGAGCCTCTTGCAAGTGAGGGAGGCCGGTGGTGGAGGAACGGGTAGAACTGTGTTCCTGACCTGCCTCTCTGAGCACAGAGCCTGGACAGACAGAGCTGGAGTGAGCCCAACGTAGGAAAAGAAACACAAACGCCAATGTATATTTTCCATATATATATCACTTTTCATGTTTTATGTATTGCAATACAAAAAAGGCCTGGAAAGATACAAGGAGCTACACATGAAAATACAGGGGGCAGTGCTGCTGCTGTTGTGTGGCAGTTAGAGATTCCTGACCTGAGAGCCTTCTGTGTAGAGTCTGCATGATCACCTTGGCTCTCACCAGGTGCTCTGACTTTCTCGCACCTTGAGTGTGTGTTGAGTGCGTGAGGGTGGTGAATGTTTGCAGACTGCCATTCGCCCTGTGCTTCAGGTGTAGCCTGAGGGCTGCTGTGAATGTTCATTACAATTGAACTATTTTGCAGATACATACTGATAGATGTAAAATGTCAGTATGCAGTGTTTCGAGATTAAAAGCGTTTTCACTATTCGGTGTATCTTTCTGGCCATTTTTACATTGGAATATATATATATATGAAGAATACACAGGACTTTCCGGGGCCGTCTTCTGTGTGGGCAGAACCATTGTCGTGATGTCCATCTGTCTTAGTGTCTGTGTGTGCACCCCGAAACGACCCGCGCGCCGTTCTCAATCTCTCCCCGCCACCAGGTTTTCCCAGCGACACCGGGGACGCCCCCCGAGCTCAGATTTCGGACGCAGGTCGCAACAATTCCTTAAACACTAAGACAAGGGATAAAATGCCCAGACCTAATCTCATGTCTCAACCGCAGAAGGAAAAATCCAGCGCGCTGTATATCCTCTAAGCAAGCGGAACCAAGTGTTATTTTTAGGAGCTAATATCCTGTATTCCGTCCCCTACAGGACAAGTAGAGAGTATAAGCACAGAAGAATACTGTACTGCTGCACCATACAACAGCTTTCCATCACTCCCAGTCAGAAGGACAATTGTAAAGTGACTTTTTAAAACACCTGAGAGTATTGCAACCTCTAGGCTCCACATCATGGCCTCCTAATAATCCCTATCTATGAATTGGTTTCATTATTCTGCTCTCCTCCCCACTGAGAGCTGATGTGTGGTGAGCGTTCTGGCCCACTATGGCTGCCGTCGCATCATCCAGGTGGGGCTGCACACTGGGGGTGGTGGAGGGGATCCCCATTACCTGTAAAGTGCTTTGAGTGGAGTGTCCAGAAAAGCGCTATATAAGTGTAAGCAATTATTATTATTATTATTATTAGACTGATTCCTGCCAAAGTGATCTGATGCAGTGAATACCAAATACTCCAACACACATTCAGACAGTTCATAATCATGTCAAACTTAGTGATCCCACACAGAACAGACGCATGAAGAAAACAGTTTCTGAAGGGGTATTTTAGATATTTGACAGCAATATTGAAAAGGTATGGAGAATATGTAAATGAAGTGCATTTAAACACAGCTACACATAACATTGGCACATAAGCCATACACTGAGAAAGTATGTTCATGTTTGTTTCTCAGATATTGCAGGCACAAATCTTATGCCTGTTGTAATACAACTGCATTTCAATATCAATCAATGAACATCTGGCAAAATATTTCATTTGCCAATGCAACGTAGAATTTTCCAGCCATTAAAAATGTTGCAAGATACATCATATTTCTTTTGTGAAAGTGATCCATAAACTGTTGTTTACTAAAAGCATCGACTGACTGCTAACCTGCTGGTCAACAAGAGCATCAGCTGACCAATAATCAGTTGTTCACTAAGAGCATCAACTAACAAATTACCCACTGGTCACCAAGAATGTCACCCTGTTCTTCGACTGACCACTAGCCTGCTGGTGAGTACGAGCGTGGTGTCTCACACTGTGCCGGACCATCTGCTTTTCAGAGCCTCTGCTTTGTCATGTCCCCCGATTGGCAGGGGTGGGAGGAATTATTTAATCTCACCACCTGACCCCTTCTCCATTTCTCCATTACTATTTCACCCTTAGTTATTCTGAAGCACATTTTAAATACGTGACAAAATATGTAATATATGTAATAAAAAGAACCACAGTTAGTTCATATTTTGCACCCTTTTTTTTAATTGACTAATTTCAAGCACATGATGCCCCCAAACTGTTTTTGGAACCCAAGGCATTTCCCAAGAACTGGGACAAACTCTGATGGAGCTTCAGCAGAGTGCCGATGGGGACGGTTTGTCCGGTCATCAGGTGTTTCGATTTCGAAACGCCTTACAGCGTGAGAGCAGCCCATGTGTCCTGGCTCGTTTGATCCCAGTCTATAAGTGGTGCCCTTGTCTCGTTCAGCAGCATGGCTGTGGTTACAAGGGGTGTGATGGCTGTCGTGTGTGTGTGTGTGTGTTTGTTTTCCAGGCACGTCTACGCCCTGCCCGAAGACGTCTACTGAAGCTTGGCTTGTCTTTGCTGTCACCCTTTCTCCTTCCAAACAGCACTGCCGCCCTCCATCTAACCTGCAACTCCTGTTTGCTGAAGCCCACTTCCCCACACCTCCCCGCTGTCGACCCTTTTTGGACTCTCCCACCTGACCGCCCACTCCCCCCACACTCTCTGCGCTTGGTAGTGACCAGCCGCCAGGACAGAACGTCGAAAGAGGAATGATGGATGGATGGATGGATAAGTCGCTTTTGCTTTCTATGGATTGTGCCACCGACGGCTAAGGAGCTCAGAACAGACCCTCATCCCTGCCCACAGGCACACACCTCTCTCAGCCTGGGAGATGGCTAACACCTTCAAAGAAAGTGGCCTTTCCCTCCATTTATCTCCTTCCAGGTTTTCTGCCTCTTTCACTTCCTCCCCCCCAACTTGTCACTTTCAAGGTTCTCTTCCTCCCTCGGGATGTATTCAGACTCAGCTCAGCAAACAACAGCCCCCTCCCCACCTGCCCCAAAATGCAAGATCAGGGGCGTGTGGACTCACCGACCCACCTCCTTCATGAATGAGTGGGCGACGATCTGAACTCGTTCTGAAGAAGGGACAGTTCGTCTCTTGTGGACACAGCCCTGCCTCTGGCTCACGACTCTCTGTCTCTCAGTCTTTCAGCAGTCGTAGTTCATTCTGGGGCAGACAGCTGGGGGTGTCTGCTTGCCCCCTGGCGGGTGGTGTCAAGGGCGCCTACGTGTGCCGATGTCTCCCGGCCGCTGGCATCTCACGGCGTGTGCGCGTGAGCACTGCTTAATGGACCCAGTCCCGGTCCTGCAGGCCCAACACACCTGCTGGATCGCGTCCCAGCCCAGCTGAGTCACCTAATTCGGGCCCAAACCGAACGGAGGAAGAGCTCGACTGGGTCATTCTTAGTTCTCGGACCCAAAAGTTGCCAATTTTGTATTTTGTTGGTGTTTTTGTTACTAACGAAACGCAGTAGTTCAAGGGAATGTTTAAGACCTGAAAACAGTCGATCGAAGGGGTCAGTCAAGGGGTCAGGAGCGTAACTGAGAGCTGGGCTGGGACGCAAAGACGAGCAGGTGTTGGGGTACCCCAAACCAGGACTGGGGATCCCTGCCTTTGCGTACATGCAGTTTTGCCGTGTCCGTGCGATTGTGTATAGTAGCTTTCTTGCAGCGTATGTTTTCACCTACTGATATGTTTTAGCTGAACAGGGGGGTGGAAGTGTTCAAATGGCACAGGTGTCAGAAAGTCGTGGGTGCGCGAACGCTGTGTCCTTTAGCATAGTGCGTGCGTGTGAGCGCTCAAGGAGTCAGGGTTGATACGTGTCTATGTGCCGTAACAGGTAGAGAGTAGGCATTTTTGAATGTGTATTCTGTGCGTACAGATTAAATGGGCTTTTGTCTTGGGGTGGGGGGGTTTATAGTAGTTTTGGTGCTGCAGAAACAGTGCCTGCCCCCCCCCCCCCTTCTATGATCTTCCGTGTTGGGGGGTGTCACGTCCAACCCGGTATCATTCCGGGCTGATCGGGCCTGCCTCTCGCACGCTGGCGTGTTTCTGCCACAGCAGAGCCCAGGTCAGTTCCCACACTCTTCTGGTACACCAGTGTCCGCACACATCAGCTCTTCGACACTCGCTGGCTAAAAACCGACAGGAACCAAGTTCCTCTCCCCCCTCCCCCACCAGACTTGCCCGATACGCATGCCTGGCAAAACACTGCACGCAGATGTTTAGGGCAACGCAGAACATGACAGGCTTAATCATTTTAAAAACGCTATTGCGTATCGCTATTATTGTTGCCATGCCACGCGACTGTGTTTTGAGTGGCCGTTTTCAACATGTTCTCTAGCAGCACACTCTGACGTGTTGTATTAACTCTGGTCGGCTCCTGCAGGAGACTTGCCCAGTGCAGCCTGGTCAGTGGGAAACTTTCCTGTGTTCTCAAGTGTTCCAGTCTGACAACATGTAGGCAACGAGTCATGAAGTAATTCACACGTCAGTACTAAGAGTGTTATACAGATTTATCATGTCTACATCCACCCATCTTCTAATCACCAGTTCAGGGTCACGGGGGTACTAGAGTCTATCCCAGCAAGCTCGAGGCTCAAGGCAGGATACAGCCTGGACAGGACACCAGTCCATCACAGGGCACACACACAGACACTGACAGTGCCACCAGGCCTAGTTTTCCCAGAAGCCAAATAACCTGCCAGCATTTAGACTGTGGAGGAAAGCGGAGCACCAGGAGGAAACTCACGTGAATTCAGGGAGAACATGCAAACTCCACACAGACAGCACCCCAGCAATTGAACTCAGAGCCCCAGCACTGCGAGCTGGCAATGCTAACCACTGTGCCTCCCCGTTGTAGAAACACTGTGTCATAATCTAGTCAGAATGTAACAGCAGAGATGCCGGGAACTACAGTGTTTCAAACCAACCGGTTTGGGGACAGATTATTCGTAGCACCGTGACAATTGTGCCAAGTGTGAACCAGTGACGTGGGACTCTGTCACCACTGCCGCCTCTGCAATTAAATGGTTATGCGGAATTATTTCCTTTCCTCACTGGTTCAACATGTGTAGAGATGCCCACCCAGAGCTGTTTTTGGCCTGGCTGGAGTCTGGGATAGGGGAACACCCCCAGGCCTCGGCAGACCTGCAGTGTAGCAGAAGCCACAGTGGACCCGAGTGGGACCAGCCAGCTCAGCTGTAGCAGTTTCTCCTTCCGCAACACGCAACAAATTCCAACTCTGCCAAAGTTTCTTTTTTTTTTTTCCTGACACCTTCACTTCCGCAAACTCAGAAAGGCTTATTGTGTGTTAATCTCGGCCAAGATTTTATCCATATAAAGGTGTTTGTGTAGTATTATCATCGCTGCTGTGAGGCTTCTGATCATTCTTATTGTGTCGTATTACTGTAATCAGGAGCGCAGATCTGTTTTTACTCACTTGCTTCTGCTCTGGGGGCGTATGAGGGAGTGGGTCACCGGGTTTGGGCTGCATCACCCGATTCCAAACGAATCGGTTCCCCTTGCCGAAATGCACATGTGATCAGTGCAGGCCATGCCAGGTGGCAGGACAATTCTCCGCCTCCTACGGCTGACAGTTTGGCACTATCCCGATATCCCTTGAAGGCGACGTCACCTTCCAGAACAGGCTCGGCACGCAAATCCCAAATCCATCCCATCTGCTTCTCAGCTAGTTCTTCCTCTCCCATCCACTGCCGAGATGAACGGAGGAGGTACATTTCCAAACCGACCGCCTTGATTTCAAGAAGCTGACCATGCGTACTGCAGCAAATCTGCAAGGCTCACGTTAACAGGCCTGTTTGTACTATTTAAGGCAGGCCGAAGCGATGGACAGAAATTAGGGGTGCATGATGTATCAGAGGCCGATATATTATTCTCCGATAAATGGGAACATTTAATAATAATAATTATTATTATTATTATTATTATTATTGTCATTCCGATATTGGAATTACAGCCAATAATTACAACCAATAACGCGGCACCCTGTTTTGGTTTGCACAGCTATTTTTTTTTTAATGTGCGCACACTGATGCACTAGACTACAGTCCAGCTGCTGCAGAGTGAACCTGTTGGGTGTGTGGAACCTTTTCACCAATTTTTAATCAATGAGCCGTCTCCACAGAGTCTGAGCTTTCTTACCCTCATTACACAGCAATGGATTATAGTGTAAACTTGCTTTTAAAAATGCCAAAAAGTATCGGTTATCGATATCAGTATCGGCCACAACAAGCTGTTAATCATCGGTTCTCATTATTGGCCCAGAATTCCGTATCGGTGCGTCCCTATCAGAAACACCGAGCTCAGGCAGCCCTAAATATGAAGCACCGAGTCACTGCTGTCATACAACACTGGTGCTGCAAGGACCAGCCTGTTTATTTCGGACTGCAGAGGGCCCTCACCACAGCAGGAAGACTTCACGGCCGAGATCTGCCGACACTGAAATGTATTCTGTGCCATTTGTGAAACTGCGCCACGTGCCCTGTGAGTTCTTCTACTGGTACGGAGCTGTGGCACCAGTACCCCCCTCTGCCTTGACTCCACAGCGCGTCCTGAATCCGAGGATGAAGGCGGGGGGAACATCAACTGCCTGTCTTCTTCACTGGGCAGTATTCAGGGCAGTATCCAGAAAAGGCAAAAAAATGGCTCAAATGAAGCTCCCTTTTAAGGAGTATGAAGTCAAAAGAATTACTTCATATGGAAAAACTAGAGAGAAATGTTATGGCTGTGGGTGAGCAGGTTTTTCAAAATGGACCCGTTGTTTGTTTTGAAGATGGGGGTCTCGGTCAGCCTGCAAGCGTCAAGAGGAGGCAACAGGAAAAAGACACTGGCCTTCTCAAGCACTGTCTGTTTCTCCCGTTGTGCCATCCTGCTCCGGAGGAGAGCTGCTCTCCTAATACAGCAGCAGAGGTGCCAATCTGTCCACTTCAAATACTTTGACCTGCAGCCCCCCCTGTGTTCTGATCCGTTTGATCCATTTATGTTAATTGCCTTTGCTTCTCAATCTGTCGCTAAAGAATACAGTTCCCGGCTGTGTGATCAAGAGTTGATGATGTTAAGTCGGCGGCGGGGGAGGGTGGGACTGACACACAGCCCCCCAGCTGGGGGCAGAGACAGTGGGGAGGGTATTCTAGGGGCCGAAATGAGATTGTCCGTAACGCGGTGACCGCAGCCATGAAATCACCTCTTGCCAAACCGTGATTTCACACATTTCATCTACAGAAAGGCTTAAGAGTCTGTGAGAAACGACTACACTGCGGTTGGGAAATGTGGAAGTATTTTACGCTGCTTTGAGAAACCCTAAAGTGTCGAGAGACTAGAACTTTAGGAATGTAAGTGTGCCAGCATCTGTAGAAAAAACTTAGAGAAGTTGGAGAAAAAAAAGTATTGCACAAGACAGGACTGTGCCATCTAAATAAGCCAGGGCCTGTTCAACCCAAGACCCTTTCCTTTGGTAGTAAAACCGGATTAAATTCCCTGATCTTTAATTTCCTGGACACTTAGTAGTAAAGGAAGGAGGGACCATGGTAAGAACTCATGAGCAGTGAGCAAGAGCAATTAAAAACCAGTGTGATCCAAAGCTTCCCTGCACCCCCAATGGATATTGGGGCGCCAGGGGACCTAGCTTTCATCCCAGCCTGTCTATATAACCCTGCATGCTTCGAACATGCTGCGTCTCTCGGGACCTCATACATGAATGACGCTAACTGCTTGCGCTACGCTGTACCACTGAGAATGACATGTGAACACTTTGCATTACGTTTGCTAAATATTTTCAATAAACTTGAGTAAAAACGAGAAACCATCTGCAGAGTTTATGGTGGTCTTTCCCAGTCAAATAAAGAAGGGGGGTGAACTGAATACCTCATTTGTTTTCAGGGGCGGTGATGTGGTTTGTGAGCTCTCTCTGTTGAATGAGGCCATAAAACCGACAGCAATGCAAAGCACAGCTTCATGAACAAAACTGCTGGACCTCAGTCATTAAGCATGCCTTTCTATCACCAACCAAGGGAGAGGAGTCTGAGCAGAAGACCTAGCAGATCCTTAGGACCAGAAATACTGGTATAGCGCTAATCCTACATGTTTTATAGGACTCTTCAATAGGCAGTTAAAGATCATGTTCCGGATCTTGACTGATGAGTCCAAGACTGGAAACAGAAGACTTTGCAGGTCCTTAGGACCAGGAATACTGACTTAGCATGAGTGTACCTGGAGTGTAACAGGGTCTTCGTGATCTTGTCCTCACTAAAGCGCTCAGTAATCCTGTTCACAGCTGAGGTCACAATATTACAAGGTCACTGCCACTCTGGAATCAGCTCAATGAGGAATGAAGGGGTTAAAGCTTACAGATTGAAAAGAAAGTCAGAGACACTGCACAGCTAGATGAAGCAAGATCAGGCACAGGCCTCTAACTGTGGTCTTGTCCACCACTGCCTCTCACCCATGACCTGCTTTCTGCAAACCAGGCTCAGTCTTCAGTTCCGACAACTTTGCTCCTGGAAGTGTCTTGCACACACACTGCCCAGGCTATCATCAATAGCACTTTCTGATTTTTTCATAACTTGAGGAACAAAAAAGGCAAACAAAATGATTTCAGAATGCTGCCCGCTCTAAACAACTCCACATCACTCCACACAGGAACGTGTTAATCACAAAATGAGTTGCCTTTCTTCTGCCTTCATTGTCTAAGTGCTGAGTCCAGTGCCAGTCACTGCTAATCATCCTTTGACTTGATTGAAAGACGAGCTCCCTCAAGCTGCTTTTAAGCAGGTCTAATTGCTGATCAGGGCCGCAGTTTATTTGTTGTGTAGCCAGATATGAATTAGGCTAAGTGCTTATATTAAGGGGGTGATTTATCTATTTCCTGAGGCCATAAATCGCCTGTCCCCTTTTCTGATAAACCTGCCTGTGTTTTCCGAAGATCACACAGCCCTGCTCGATATCTTCACAGACAAGCGTGGACTCTCCCGGCACATTCTAAATGTGGAAATGAAGGGGGTTGAAGAGAAAGCAAAAGGCATCTGTCAGCCATCTGAGAAAAACTCTTTGCTATCAAATCTCTTTTTCGAGAGGGAAGCAATCGGGTTTGATCCCTGCCCAGAGCCCAGGAGATCTGCTCACCACTTTTGCATCACACTTGTTTTAAGTTGTAATCCTGCTGTACTCTCTACACGCTGACCAGCAACTGCAAAGGTCAATGAACAAATCTGGTACATAATATGAATACTAAATATGCACACACTTTTGGATGACATCTTAAAAAATGATCTAGGAATTCACCTTGAAAACACGCTGATAGATTGTCAAAAGGCACTTTATCTTAAAATATAAGAATGGAGGCCATTCGGCCCAGAAGGTTAGTTTGATTTCTTGAAGGCAAATTGCTTGTGAACATAAGAATGACGCTAACGAGAGAACGTCATTCAGACCACCTGGCCCAATAAGTAGTGAGTATCTAAGTAATCCAAGGATCTCATCAATCAGTTTCTTAAAAGAAGCCAGGGTATGGGCCTCAACCATATGCCTGGGTGACGCGTACCACACTCCCCCCAGCCTTTGTGTAAAGGACGTACAGGGGTATAATTGTTTGCTGGCTGCAACACATTT